GGGGTCTTTTTTTTGACAATTGGTAACAAATCTCCATTTATAATCGTTTACACCAAATGTAAGCTCCCTAGGATTGATATCAGCTGAGATTGGCTTATTCTGCCCCCACCTCCCCCCTCTTAAATGTTTGTGAGTTCAGCTATTATATTCATCATCATCCAGCACCAGATCTGCTACAAACATCATCGATCATGGTTTTCCATTCATTCCTTTGCTCAGATACTCTCAAAAATGCTACGTTTCCCTGGTATTATATTATTGATGATTATTATGGAATACATCAACACCCGGTGAATATGACTGAAAACAGTTGAAAGCTTAATTTCCTTTGTGCTTCTTTTAAATGTATATTTATATTTTTTTTGGTCCTATTAAATGGTTTACTTTCTGCTTACTGATCCCATAATCCACGAGGATCGTAGGGGACGCTGTATGATAGAGAGCCTTGTCAGGTGCCTCCACTAATAATTTAGAATATTAATTAGTTTAGCATAACGATGAAATCAGGTTCTCGTTAAATTAAATTAAATCGAAGAGACCGGCATATCTATACACGTAGGGCAATTTTTATCCATCTTTTTTATTCTTAATTAATTAATTAATTAATTTAGCTATTTACTTGTTATTTATTGGTTTTGTCTGAACACCTTTTAGGTCCACTAAAAACACATCCCTGCGTCAATTTTATGAAAAGCGTTGATCAAGGGAAAATTTGTATTTTCCAAAGACACTCACACCCTGGAAGTCAGTGGCGTTTAAGGTCAGTTTTCACTTTGAAAAAAAAAGAACCTCCAATAAAACAAATTAACAAACAAACAAGCAGACACAAACATGCACAAAAAACCCCAAAACAAGCCAATCCAAGACATAAAAAATATAGCACTGATTAAATATCCCTGGCTTCATTAGTAGTTATTTATTTTTTCGATTAAAAAAAAAATTATTTTTTTAGACATTTCTTCCTCCTACATTTGGAAAATAAACCAAGCGAGTGTACGAAATTCCCTGGGAAATAAGCTTGGCTATCAGCACTTTGAGGAAATCAGGCGCACCCAAACCTTAGGAAAAATATAAGGTTTTTAGCTTCCGTAGTTCAATTGACTCAGGCCAATTCACGGGAACCATATAATTGTGTGCAAAATTTCTTTGAATATTTGCCATTTGTTACGTGTATAGGTCTGCCTAAGAATTTAATGGCACGATACATATAATTAGAATATAAATACATGAAATTAGTTCTTCCCACTCTCTCAGAACGAAACACTTGGATGTAGTTTTGCCACGACCCAGAGCCACTTTCCAAAGTTTTACCTGACCATTGTCAATCACGTCCTAATTTTTGGTACCCCCATATTCTAGAGACATAAAGCAGCCATTGGCTTAATCTTTATATTAATTAAGATTTTTACAAATTAATTTTTGCTGTTTCTTGGAATGAACTAAAAAGTCTTCTTGTTCGAGAAATTATCCACCGAGCTTTACAGGCTCGATCTTGTAGCGTTCGGCTCCTGCATAGACGGGAAGAAAATGAAAATATGTGATAGGAGCTGACAAAATGGGTTACTTCTCGTAATCCACAAATGGAGATATTAACAACAAAAAATGACAATAGGATCAAATTTCCAGATGTCTTATTGATGTCATATTTTCTTAAAGTATAACAAGCCCTTTGTGGTTTCATATTTAGAGATAGTAAAAACTTCACCTACAAGCGTGATGTATCTATTTCCATGGGGATAAAATAGGATAAGTTACTCATTTGGTCAGCACGCTTCACATGCTCAAGTATCTATAACACATTACTGTCTCTGCGATCTTATCCCCCCCCCCTCACCCCCAGTATCATCTCACAGACCTTTTGAGATAGCCTACTTTCCGTGTTCACATTTAAATCCCATAATCTGGCAAGAATCCTTTTAATTTTCTTTTGAGAGGGGAAGGGAGAGAGGAGTGAAAGGGGGAGAGGGGGAGTATGGAAGAGTGAGGGGAGTGATAGTGGGAGGAGGGGTCATATGTTTCTGTTCCCGTGACCGAGGCACACATCCTATATGAAGTATAATTTTTATAAAGAAAGTTCTTTCTGAGTTGGCGAGAAGACATAACGGTGTAGACAATGGCTAGGGTTGGCTGGCTTGTTCTGACTATTGGACTCCTCGCACCGGCAGTAGGTGAGTAAATATTGAATACATACCTTCTGACATTGTCGTGAAAAAGATATAGGTCATCAGCTTCCATCAAAGATAAAATACAATCGTCTTCATTGTGCAATTCCTGTATGGCATGGCCATTTGATTTTGAAATGTGTTTTTGGAACTGAGAGATAAAAAAATATAGGGCTAAGATTACAGCCTTGTTTAAGACCTGGTGTACTTTGGAAAAATTCAGTAATAAAAATGTCAGAGATCTTTGTTTTTCTGAGCAGACTTATACACATCAAAGCACAATTTAATACATATTTTTCAAAATATGCATTGGTCCAGAACAGTCAGGTCTTCTTAATACTGTCTACAGCTTTTCTCTGCTACCCGATCAAATGCTTTTTAAAAAGTTGATATAACATACTTAGAGGCCTGGACATACATTTTTGGTAAAAGATTGGAGCGAAAATACATGTGTATTATCTTTATTCATTTAGATTAGATCTACTGAAAACTATTTTTTTAAACCTAGAATTGATCTGTGGAAAGCGGAACTTTGTGACCCCCCCCCCCCCCTTTCCCCTCTTTTTTTTAAATTTAAAAATGCCAGGAGAAACAGACAACAAAGATTGTACAAACGTTGTTCAGGAATGCAGTGACGCCAGCTTGTTGGTTCCCAGGGATCTCCGTGATTACGACCAAAAACATATAACTGTGTCGCAACACAGGGAAACCAGGCGCTCGTCAGTAAAGTTCTGGGGGTGTGTGAGGTTAATGGGAATGTCTTATAGTTTGTTCATTGTTCTTGCTTTTGTTTTTGTGTTTTTTTAATATCCATCTATCTTGAATAGAAGTCGAGATATTTACGATTGAAGGAGAAGATGCTAGCCTGTTGTCGGAGGGGATGTAAAATTAGCTAGAAAATAGCAGTCAATGTTTTTCGATTTTCAAATCGTGACAGTCTTTGGAAACTGCACATTTACAATTTGTCTACCTTTGATCAACGTTTTTCAGAATAATCTAAATATAACATGCTTGTATTTTTTATGGATATAAAAGGTGTTGTGTCTAAAAAAAAAAGATACATTTTTCCAAACGAGAGGGAAAAAATATGTTTCTTTTATTTATTTAAGTAGGATTTTTTTACGAGCACAGGATTTCGCCACGAATCCTCACAAATGACGCGTTGTGAACACACGCACTAAGTCACTCCTGACGAAAGACCAACCAATTTCCCGAGGAGAGAGAGCCACACAGGTAAGACAAACGTGAGGAAGATTTTTTTCAAACTTGAACATTGGCAGAACTGCATTTTGATCTTATCATAGATCGCATACGTACAGCCAAAGGCAAGTCATGAAATGGTTGAAGGAAGGGATGAATAGGTGGGAGGGGGAGGGGAGGAGGAGAGAGGAGGTGGATGGGAGGAGGGAGGGGAGAGGGAGGGGAGAGGGAGGGGAGAGGGAGGGGGAGGTCTGTAGGAAGAGGGGGGAGGGGAAGGTGAAGGAGGAGAAGGGGAGTAGGAAAGGGGGAGGGGAGAGGCGGTAGGGGAGAGGTGAAGGGAGAGGGGAGGGCGGAGGGGAGAGGTGAAGGGAGAGGGGGCGGTGGGGAGTGGGGAAGGGAGAGTGGAGTGGGGAGAGGGAGGGGAGAGGCGGTATGGGAGGGAGGGAAGAGAGGAGAGGGGAAGGGAGAGGCGGTATGGGAGGGAGGGTAGAGAGGAGAGGGCGGAGGGGAGAGTATAAGGGAGAGAGGAGTGAAAGGGGGAGAGGGGGAGTAGGGAAGGGTGAGGGGAGTGATAGTGGGAGGAGGGGTCATATGTTTCTGTTCCCGTGACCGAGGCACACATCCTATATGAAGTATAATTTTTATAAAGAAAGTT